CTCCGGAATGTTTCTGACACTAGAAAATCAGAAGCTTTCCACCGTTCCCAGCGCCCTGGCTTTGGGAGAGGCCAGTGAGCCTGTGGCTTGGGAGCCTGGTTGCATGAGAAGCATGTGTGGGAACGCCAGGGGCCGGCTTTGAACCCCATTCCCCCAACATGATGCCGTGTGTGGCAGACATGACGCTTGGCTTTGCTCTCTGCGAGTTCCATCTGTGACAGTGGCTACTTGTGCCCCTGGCCTCATCAGCTCGGGCTGAAGCTGGCCCTGGTCCTGGCCAGAGGGACTTCGTGAAGCAGAAATAGATGGCCTGGTGCAGGGGCCAAGCCTGGCCAGGACCTCAGCCCTGGGAGTTGTAAAGAAGGCCGGCCTGTACCATGAGCATCTGCACCAAGCTGTGCCCATGTCATGGTGTGCTTGGCATCTGCCCTTGCACAGGTGCATGGCCTGTCTGCGCTCAGGCTCCCCGCCTATGGGACCCAGGCTCACAGAGGTATGAAAGAGGCAAGTACGGCGCAGGGGCCTCCGAGAACAGCCAGCCTCACTTCAATGCTGCGAGACTAACATCTTCCATTTTGTCTTCTGCCCAGGCCAGCTGCGGGCCGTCCAGTGGCTGTGCTACTTCTACAGCGTCATTATGCCCAGGAAGGCCCAGTGTGTCATCTACCACGATCTCCAGCTCTCCCTGACCCACAAAGTGGCCGACAAGGTGCTGGAGGGGCAGATCCTGGAGACCATCAGTCAGCTCTACCTGTCCCTGGGCACGGAGTGGTAAGGGCTGGCTTTGCAGTTGTGGAGGTGGGGGCGGGCAGGGCAGGGAGGGGGGCACAGGGAACGTGGCCCAGGGCGCCATCAGCCCCTCTCCTTTTGATCATTTGGTTCCTTGGCATCAGATGCTTTGAGCTGGTGGGCCTGGGGTCGTCCCAGGGCTGCTGCTGGCCCGTGAGTCCCAGCCTGAGCCTCCCTTGTTGGGTCAAAGGTCATCTCAACCCCAGCAGAGGCAGTACGTGCACTCTGGGCTGTTCTTCCTATTATGGTGGCTTTTGTCATCTGATCTCTGCCTGCCCTGAATCTTCACTCCTGGCCTTCATCTGTCCCCTTAAATGTGACCACACCAGCCACCGGTGGCTTCTCTCCCACAGAAGACAGAGCCAGTTGTGTCACCTGCTTCCCTGGGGCAGGGTTTCAAGGTCTCACGTCCCATATGTGGCCTACTCGGCTTCCCCCAAGCATCCTGACCTGGTGGGGTAACCATGGCCCTGGCCACCCCACCCATAGGGCCCAGTGACATTGCTGCAGTCACACTCCCTCGAGTGTTGGACTTACTGAGGGAGCAGGGAAGGAGCCAGATTCCATGGGGACCCGGGAGACTGGGTCCAGTCTTGGCCTCAGGTTCACAGAAGGAAAATGGGCCAGTGTGCTAGAGCCATGCTTCTCAAAGTATAGTCCCTGGACCAGTAGAGCAGCATCCATGTCACCTAGGAGTTTGTGGCAAGTGGGAGTTCTAGGGCCTGCCCCAGGCCTGTGGATCCGGAAGCTCTGGGGGGCAGGGCCAGCAAGCTATAAGGACAGGCCTTCGGGTGACTGATTCCTGCACACCTTGAGAATCATCGGCCCAGATAGCCTCTGAACACTAACGGCTCCTGATGCATCTGGAGAAGACACAGGCCATGTCTGGGAGGCAGGGGAAATGGACTAGCACACTCCTCCTGCCACAGGGCAGCATGATGCTCGATTCCCTCAGAAGGATGTCCTTCTTTTCCATGCCGTGTGTGTTCACCCTGGCCCTCCCAGCAGCCTGGGAAGGGCAGAACACTGCACACACACGAGGGCTGTTCCCAGTCTGCACATTCCAGGTTCATCTGTCGCCAGACCCACGGCAGGAGGCAGACTGGTTCCAGGAGGATGAGAGCTCTTGTTCTGACACCTGTGTCTGATTCCAGGGCCTACAAATCCGCTCTGGACTACGCCAAACGAAGTCTGGAGATTTTCATTGACCTCCAGAGGAAAGAGAAGGAGGCGCATGCCTGGCTGCAAGCAGGGAAGATCTATTACATCCTGCGACAGAGCGAGCTGGTGGACCTGTGCATCCAGGTGAGTGGCAAGGGATGCAGGAGGACCCCGGTGCTGTTCACTCTCTGTCCATCCACCCATCCATTCATCCTTCCATCATCTATCTGTTTACCTGCTCATCCTTCTATCCATCAATCCATCATCTTCCCATACACCTGTGGGTCCTTCCATCCATCCATCCATCCATTCACCTGTTCGTCTTTCCATGCAACCGTCCGTCCATCCATCCTTTTATCATCCATTCATTCACCTCTCCATCCATCTATTCACCTGTTCGTCCATCCATCCATCCTTCCATCTTTCCATCATCCATCCAACTGTTCATCCTTCTATCCATCCATCATTCTTCTGTTCACCTCTTTGTCTGTCCATCCGTCCATCCTTCCATCTTTCCGTTATCCATCCAACCATCTTCCATCCATGATCCATCTATTCACCTGTCCATCCATTCATTCATCATCCATCCTTTTATCATCCATCCCTCCATCCATTCTTCCATCCATCCATCTTTCCATCATTCATCCACTCGCCTGCTCATCCTTCCATCCATCCATCCTTCTATCATCCATCCATTCACCTGTTCATCCTTCCATTCATCCATCCGTCCATCTATCATTCATTCATTCCTTTATCATCCATTCATTCAGCCACCATCCATCCACCTGTTCGTCCATTCATCCATCCATCCTTCCATCATCCATCCATTCACCTGTTCATCCTTCCATCCATCCATCCATTCACCTGTTCATCCTTCCATCCATCATCCATCCATCCATCCTTTTCTCATCCATCCTTCATCCATTTATCATCCATCCATCCATTCATCCTTCCATCAACTATCCATTCACCTGTTCATCTATCCTGCCATCCATCCACCATTCATCCATCCACCATTCATCCATCTGTCCATTTATCCATTCATCTGTTCATCTTTCCATCCATCCATCCGTCCATCCCTCCATCCATCATTTATCCATCTTTTTATCCATCCATTCACCTGTTGTTCCATCCATCTGTCCATTCATCCTTCCATCATCCATCCATCCACCTGTTCATCCATCCATCATCCATCCTTCCACCAATCTACCTATTAATCCGTCCCTCCATTCATCTATCTGTCCATTTGTTTATCCATACATTCGTCTATCCACCATCTATCCATCCACATGTACATATATCATCTACCCTCCACCCATACAGACATACATACACCCATACATACAGTGTGTATACACATCATTCCACCCATCCACACATCCATCTATCCGTCGGTTTGTCTACATCTTCTCATCCATTCATTCATCCATCCACTCATTCCTAAGCCACTGCTGAGCACCTGTTGTGTGCCTTTTCCCTCCCTCCAACTGGTTCCCTCACGTCCACCCCCAGTGGCCAGCATCTTCTCCCTGAGGCAGAGGCGCGGCCCCTCACAGTGCACAGCATCTGCTGGTATACAGCACATGCTTAAATAATGCGACCACTCAGTTAACACACAGAACTTGCTCCAAGCGACTCGTGGCACATCTCCTTACAAAATGAATCTATCATAGCGGCTGTTTTCAGAGGCTTTCCCAAACACAGTGTGATCTGGAACAAATTGTGAAGCCCACGAGCCTGGTGAAGCTTTCATTATTGAGCACCTGCTGTATACCTCCTTGAGCTGAGGAGAGGGATCAAGAGCTCATGGCCAAGAGGGGACCAGGCCCACCCACAAACACTGCTGATGTGGCAGGGATGTGGCAATGCAGAAAGGAGCCAGGGGCTGGGATCCCAGCAGTCTGGGGACCACGGAGACTGATTTGAGTGCAGGGGGAGTGGGCTAGGGCTAGCCCTGGTGGTAGGATTCACAGGTATCGGGCTCCTGGGCTGCAGCTGCTCAGTCACCTCCTGGCACTCAGGAGCATCAGTTCATTGTCCTCATGCCAGTGGTGTGGGCAGCCCTAATGCACAGGGTCTGAAAAATGCTCAGGTGTACCTGTAGTGTGAGAGAGGAAGGAGGCTGGCAAAGGTGCACGTAGCCACCTCGCTAGGTGTGGGTCTTGAGGGAACTTCTGTCTCCTTTCAGGTGGCACAGAATGTGGACCTGCACACAGGCGACCCCAACCTGGGGCTGGAGCTGTTTGAGACAGCTGGAGACATCTTCTTCAATGGGACCTGGGAGCGGGAGGAAGGCATGTCCTTCTACCGGGTGAGCTGGCCTCAGTGGGGCACCTGGAGGCCTGAGGCACAGATGTGGCAGGGTAGAGGTCTCCCACCTGGAGGCAGGGTCACCCATGCACATGATGAGTTTCCAAGTGGTCTCACGGGGAATGATATTGACCATGCCCCTGCCCGGGACAAACGCTCGGGGCCTGGACGTGACAATGGTTCTACCCTTGTACCTGATGACCTCAAGCAACCATGAGTGGGAAGTCCTGTCCCCATCTTCCAGATGAGGAAACTGAGGCTCAGAGGGGCACAGGGACATGTCAAAGGACACGCAGCATCAGTGGGAGACCCAGGTCTGCATGTACCCCGAAATGGGACGGCTTCTCCCTTCCTCTGAGCTCACGGTGTGGCCCAGCCCTGGGCACAGATAATTATGGTGTTTTTAGAGCAGAGAGGAGTGCTGGCTCCCCCGACTCAGACCCCCGGTGCCCAGGTTGGAGAGGCTGGTCTGAGGCTGTCGGGTGTAGCTGGATGGGCCTCAGGTGACTCTTCAGCCCCCAACTTGGGTGTCTGAACTGTGTGTTATCCCAGAGCAGAGAGCTGTGTCGAGGTGCAGGGGTAGCTGGGGCGTGGGAAGCTCCAAGCACATGTTTGCGCTCTGAGGAGGGCGCTGGGCAAGGTGGGTGCTGCGGGAAGCCTGACCCCACCTGCCTGTGTGGTAGGACCAGGCCCTGCCCCTGGCACTGACTGCGGGCAACCGCAAGGTGGAGCTGCAGCTACAGCTGTGCAACAAGCTGGTGGCACTCCTGGCCACGCTGGAGAAGCCCCAGGAGGTCTTGGAGTTTGCCTACATGGCCCTAGCACTCAGCACCACTCTGGGTAAGTCCCTTGAGCCCCCACCCTGCCAGGACCCACACTTTGCCAGAGCCCAGCCTCCAGGTCTGCAGGCCAGGAGCTGAAACAGCTGCTGGATTTTCCTGGTCTCCTGTCCAGGCAGGCACATCTGCCCAACTGGCTTCCCCGTCCGGCTGTGGGGCACAGCCCAAGGTCTCTCACGCAGTGCAGAGCTCCCTGCCTGACTGAGCTCTGCTTCCTCTGCCTGTTCCCACTGCTGACCACAAGGGCCGCCCAGTGTGCCCTCTGCCTTCCAGACATGCCAGGCATCTCGTTGGTCCCTATATGTGCCAGGCTGAGTGGCACATTCCCTTTCTCTTGTGCCCTTCCCACCATCATCAACCACACAGCTCTCTGGCAGATAAAATCTCAGTTCCCCTTCCAGCAGTCTGCCCCTTAAGGCCGTGCATCCCCTGGTGCTGTGCCAGAGTCGTCTGTCTCTCTCCAGAGACAGGGAACCCTAGGCAGGCCACACGCCCCAGCGCCTTGTGCCCTGTGGCCCAGTACACAGCAGGTGTGCAGCTGACTCCCTAAGGTAGGGGGCTCTGATCGTGCCACACCCAGGAGGAGTCGGATGTCACGTCTGTGGGTTGCCTGGAGCCGGGGTCCCGGGAGCACCTGGACTGCATGGCTTTTGGGTTCTCCTGGTTAAAACCAGTGAGCAAAGGCAGGTGGCTATGTGTAGACACAGAGCTGGGCCATCCAAGTCCGACTTTGCCAAAGCCTCACAGTAGACAGGGACAGGCCTTATTAGTTCTGCTTTGCAGATGGGAAAGTGAGTCTGGGAACCTGGAAGGGAATGGCCAGAGCTGCCCAGGTGACCACAGGTGCCTGGAGGCAAGCCAGGCGTGCAGCCCGGGGTCTGCATACCTGCTCCTGAGGGGCCTGAGCCCTCCCTGCCCCAGGGAGCCACGTCCTCACACCTGCCCCTTTGGCCTGCACCCAGGGGACCAGCTCAACGAGCGCATGGCCTACCACCGGCTGGCCACCCTGCACCACCGGTTGGACCATGGCAAGCTGGCGGAGCACTTCTACCTCAAGGCCCTGTAGCTCTGCAACTCGCCGCTGGAGTTCGACGAGGAGACCCTCTGCTACGTGAACATGTACCTGGTGCTCGGTGACATCATCTTCTATGACCTGAAGGTGGGTGGCAGGGGTAGGGCGCGGGGTGTTCCCAGACCCCTTGGAGTGGGATCTCTACCCACACCCCAGAGGCCTGGGTTCCAGCCTTCCTTAGGAATGGCCCAGTGGCCTCCCTGGAGCTGTGCACCCAGCTGGAGGAGCCGGCAAGCTTAGCAGATACAACCCAGCTCCCAAGCTGGCCAGGCCCCACCCTCAAGAACTCAGTCTCAGCCAGGGAGGCTGACACATGAGTGGGCAATGGTGGCCTCTGGGTAAAGGAGGAGGATTGTAGTCAGGGGGGCCCTCCTGGAGGAGGTGACACCAAACTGAGTCTTGACAGTCAAGTGTCAAGTTGCATTTAACAAAGAAAACAGGGTTGGGAGGAGGACATTTCGGAGGACGGCATCATCCTCACATTGAATCCACGTTGCAAGATCCAACCCAAATCCTGGCGCCTCCTCTAGGAAGCCTGCCCAGGGTGCCAGCCTGCACTGAGCAACTCCTTCCTGGAGTCCCGAGACACCCTGAATCTTCACACCACCCAGGAAGGGTGGGGTGGGACCAGTGTCTTACGATTGGGTTCACAGACAGGGAAACCCCAGCTCAGGGCAGGTGTAGTGGGGCAGGGCCTCAGCCAGCCAGGCTGAGACCTTGCTGGGTCGGGTCTGTCTTGAGAGGAGGTGTTGTGCTCCCTCTGCCCACAGCCCTGCAGGGGTAGAGAGCTGGGACTGGCAGACTCAGACCTGGGGTGTCTCCACGCCTCTGCCCAGCAGGCACGACCCCTCCTCAGCATCGCACCGGCACCGCGTCAGTGCTCCTTAGGGGCTGAGAGGCCAGAGCACTCTAGTCCAGGGGCCAAGATCTTGGGGGCCTTAGAACAACATGAGAAGCTGGGGCAGCCCTAAGACCCTGCCCCGTATCCCCCACCACAGGCGACACCTGCTGAGCAGAAGTGGTCTCTGTGGCCTCCGAAGTCCCAGCCAGACAGGGAGGTGCCAAGTGTCAGACCCAGAGGGACACTGCTCACTGCTCAGGGGCTCGCCTGGGACCCAGGGGGACCAACCTCCCAGAAGAGGCCTTTATCTCTCTTGGTCAAGCCTGCCGCCCACTCCGCCTGTCCAGGAGGAAGGAAAGGGCCAAGTAGTACCTGAGAGGCCAAAGTCCACGGTTGGGGTCGAGGGGCAGAGGCCTCCTTCACCTCCTTCCCATGCACAGCCCTCTGGGCCTCATCGTGACTATGGTGTCAGCGCAGGCCAGCTTCCCACAGGGAGGCCCCCTCAGAATTCCCCAAGGGCGGCTGTCTTTCCAAGGCTACACCCTCCTCCTGGTATAGGAGGCTCTGGACCCAGGGCCCAGAGGAGTGGGAGAAAAAGCCGGGCTGGATGGAGCCTGGAAGGCTGGCAGAGAAGCAGAGGTAAATGGGCATCTTTGCCGATTGCCTCTAAAATGGGGTCCCCTTTAGTCTACACGTGAGAGTGAGTCCTGGAATAGGGTGGATTAGATGTGTCCTGGCTCAGCCTGCCACTCACTAGCTGCTTCACATACTACAGGCACATGGAAATGCACACGCAAATGCACATGCACACACAGGCGCGTACACACAGGCACACAAACACGCACAGGCACACGCAGAGACATATGCTTTGGCTGGCTCCTTCCTGTTTAGTTGGGAAGCCCCCACCCCTTCAGGAAGCCTTTGCCTTCCATCCCTGGCTGAGTCTGGGGCCTCCTGGGCTTCCCTCTGCCACAGCCCGGGCCACCCTCTGTGGTCAGTGTTCACTCCCAGGTCCCTCAGACTGGGATCAAGGACGTTAGGCTCAGCCACCCACCCAGCACAGAGTCCAGTGTTCGGCTGGGCGGGGGCCATTGGATGAGCAGTGGCGGTGACTCGGGGCCTTCTCACGCCCCTGCTCCGTGTGTGGGGAGGGGCAGTGAGGGAATGGACTGCTGCATCTTGGACTTTGTCATTGGCCCTGGGAGCCATCTTGAGATGGTAAAGAGGAACAGGCCAGGTATGGGTCTCAGAGAGGTCCCTTGGGTGACCCCCATGTGGAAGAGGTGCCTGGGGAGAAGCCGGGTGGGGAATGGGAGGCTCAAGGAGGAGGTCTGGGAGACGGAATCCCAACCCAGGGATGGTGAGTTTGAGCCAAAGATGCATTGAAAACAGGAGTGGATGTCTGGGGAGTCACACTCCATCAATATTTCAGGGAACATTGCCAGGGAGGACACCTGTGAGATGGTTTTGTACCTGGCCTGTCCCGTGGAGGGCCTGGAAATGGTCAGCATGGACAGGGGCCAGAGGGGAGCCTGGGTCACTCAACGCTATGCCCCTGCTGTGGCTTGGAGCCACGGGTCCTGCATGGAACTCTCAGAGCAGGCAGGATCTGCCCTGACCTCAGCCCATGGGGAAAGCAGCCACTGCCTACAGAGAGGGTGGCACTGGGGCAGGAGGCTTGGGGTGAGTGGGGCGTAGGGACACTCAGGAAGGCTTCCAGGGGTGTCAGGGTGGTCCCAACCTCCTGCAGCTGAGACCACAGCAGTTCCACAGGCTTCGGGGCTCATGGGGTGAGCCAGCATTGGCTGGACATGTGGAATGACCTGGAGACAGGAACGGCCTCTGGGAAGACGGACTCCGAGTCTCCCTTTTGCTGAACATGGCCTGTCCCCTTCAGGACCCGTTTGATGCAGCCGGGTACTACCAGCTGGCCCTGGCAGCCGCCATGGACCTGGGCAACCAGAGGACACAGCTGAAGACCTACACGCGGCCGGCCACCATCTCCCACAACTTCCTCCTGGACCGTGAGAAGTTGATCCTCTTCTACCAGAAGGCCAGGACCTTCGCCACAGAGCTCAACGTCCGCAGGGTCAACCTACCTCCTCTGCCATTCTGCGGGTGGGCCC